ACTTCTTTGTAATAAATTCCCATTTCAGCTGTGCCCTTCAAGTATTTAATGATCCTTTTTACCATTGTCCAGTGCTGTTCCCTTGGTTCTTCCAGAAACTGTGAAACATAATTTACAACAAACGTGATATCAGGACGAGTAGATACTGCTAAATACATTAAGCACCCTACTGCTTCTCGATAAGGGGCTTTTGTCAATTCAAATTTCATTTCTTCCCCTGTTAATTGACATCTTTCAATTGGCGTACTAACTGAATTTGCTTCTGTCATTTTAAATTTTTCAATTATGTCATCAACGTACCGTTTTTGATTAATGAAAATTGTTCCATCGTTATGTTGATTAATTTGAATGTTGAGAAAACATCCGACTGGCTCCGCTGTCATTTTGAATTCTTCTTCGAGTTTTCCAATGAATTTATTAATAGATTCTTTTGTTGTGGCAACAACCAATCCATCGTCTACATAAATAACGACTATCAGTTTTTCATTTTTGGAAATACGGTAAAATAAACATGGGTCAGCTGTACTCTCCTGTAAACCAAATGAAATTAAAACCTCTTTGAACCGTTCCTTCCAGCATCTTGGGAATTTAGAAATAGTTTTTCGCTTTTCCGGCAGTTCAGCAATTTTGCACGTCGAATTTTCTTTCAATGATGCCATTTCTTCGTTCATGGCGGTCACCCAATTCTGCTTTTCTGCCGATTTTATGGCCTTGTTATAACTTTTTGGTTCTGCAACTTCCGAAAGCATTGCATATAACAACCTGTTTGGTGCTTTGAGATCGTTCCGATTTCTGAGATGTCGTTTTTCCAAGATTTCTTCCGATGCTTTACACTCCAATTCCTTTTCTTGAGTTGGTGTGCTCGTCTCTTGATCGACAAAATCTTCTTCAAACATTGGCTGATGGAATACAGAGAAAAGCAAAATCATCATTTGGAGTTAACACATCACACTGATGTAACAGTTGACATTTGTTGACAGTTATTCCTTAGACATTCTAAATCATTCTATCTAGAATGTGTGTATAATGAACGAGTAATAAGCGCTTATTATGAACGGGACTTTACGGATATGTTTCGTATTGCGCATTAATCTCGTTTATTGAAACATTGAAATATCTTTTCATTGTTAGATATCTACAAGTGAATATAATATATGGCTATTTAGTAACAATTCCAATGAATATTTTGCTTTCCACTACAGTTTGAGCATAATTTTACTCTCACACAAAATAATGTTCTTGATGTTTATGTTATGGCTTTGGGTCCACAAGTCATGCAGTTTTTTAACAAGAAAACTTCTTTTGTGAAATGTAACATAATCATTTTCTCCATTTGTATAAAAGTTTTTCGGGCACACTGTGTACATAAACAACTATGTATTTCTGTTAAATTGTCTCGATACTTCTTCACGTTACCTAATCATTACTACAGGAAGTGAACAAAAAGGATTCCACGCATACTTGATTCTAATTAAGGAACAAGTAGAACAATTCGAAAACAATGGGTAATATAATATTATGATCTAACAATGCATCAAGTTCGTGGAGTTTTTGAACATCGCGATCCCAGTAGGAACACTATCTTATTTTTTTTAATGGAAGCTGCTTTTGGAAGTCAAGGTGTTTTTATTTCGAAATGTATTCGCATTTTCTAACCCATGTTGGAAGGCACTATTATGGCCACTTTCTCCGTCCGTCCGTCCAGTCCATCCGTCAGTCCTAGAGTCAGCCCGTCTGTCTGTCCGAGGCTTTAGGTGTTCCAACACTACCGTCCTACAGTCTAATTTGGCAAGTTTACTGGCGGAAAGTACTTTCGGTTTCGGTCAGTCAACTTGCCAAGTGTAAATGAGCGGAAAGTGCACTTGTCAGTTACTTGCTACTTGCCCGCAAGCGGCAAGTGAAGTTGAGGACCTGGCTATTTTAGTGGCCGAGTTGCCTGTCTGGACTGTCAAATTTCTGTCAAATGTATGTAGTTCCAGTATAGTTTCTGTATGTAAATCGAGTGGGAAAGTTAGTTAAACTTTTTCTGGAACAATCAAGTGGAAGAGTGACCAAATAATAAAGTTTTTAAATGTGTATTAGAAATATGAGGTACTTTGGGACATAAGAAAACAACTATTAAGAGAAATGACAGAAACAGAAAACATTCTGTGTACTGATATTAGTCCAGGCAAATTGGACTTTTTCCAAAGAAAATCGTTAATGGAGCTTTGCCAAGTGGATATGTTAAAAATGGTCTATAAAAAAACAAAAAAAAAAATAATACGTGAACAGGGGAGTGGGACTAAGTTTTTGGGGAACGTGAAAAGGCGTGAAAATCTATTGTAAACATAACGGTCATTCCGCTTTCAAAAATTCCAGTATAGTATATTTCAGCACACAACATTATTTCATTTGAATGTTTCTTAATAATACTATTAAGGAACAAAGTCTCTGTTCAAACAATGAAATGAAGTTTCTTTGTTATTTTTTTCCCGTAGAATCAAATGCTGAAATCAGTTTTTGACCAATTTCCAAAATGTAAACAAAATATCAACATTTACTAGAAAATTCAATGTTGCTGAAGTGGTTTTTGGAGTCTTTTCGTTTCTTGAGCTTCTGTAATAGGGACTATAATTTTAATCAAAAAGTATAGATAAAAACGAAGAGAATGACACCAAATCAAACTTCCTACGATAAATCTCTGAAGGACGATTTTCATTTGAAGAAAAAAGTTTTTTGCTGAAAAAAACGAATATTTCGGACACCACATAATTTTTATATTGAAAAAATTTGTAGTTATTTGAATCATAAAATAGTACCTATATTTCATTCTCATTAAAAGAAAATCATTTTTGCGGAAATGAACAATAAAAAACAAGGTCTTCGGCGATTTTTCGGTTATTTTGAGGTTATGTGAGTTATTCACCTGGTTTTTCACGATCTAAAAATTTCCATTGAACACTTTTGTCTCTAATCTCAACTTTTGCCGGAAATTGCAGTCATACGATTTTCACCCATTTTCATCCTCCTCAAAAACCTAGTCCTATTCCCCTGCTCACATGCTTATTTTTTTTTTGTATTTGTTATGACCATTTTAACATATCCACTTGACGAAGCTCCATTAACAATTTTCTTTTGTAAAAAGTCCAATTTCCTGGACTAATAGTGTCAGAACACGGCATGTTTTCTGTTTCTGTCACTTCTTTTAATAGTTGTTCGAATGCATTGTCCCGTTTTAGCTTATTCGTGTGGTCTCCTTTTCTTAGTTCCTAAAGTACCTCATAAGTATACACATTTAAAAACTTTTTGATTAGGTCACTGTTCCACTTCATTGTTCTATGCAGTAACTACACTGAAACTATATGGTCCAGTAAGTGGGGGGTTTTTTTAATGCAAAAGGTGGGGGAGCAGCGATTTTGAGTATGTTGTTAAGCTTGGGGCCCTAATGAAAACTTTTGGAACAATACAATAATGGAATAATGGGCATTTTATCCTCTTTAACTTTGTACATAACATCTTTTGTCGTTTTTGATTTATTATCAAAATATACTCTTTGCAAAAAACCAAATTTTTGTACCTAAAATCCAAGATGGCGGTTCGAGCGCATGTGCCTCGAGGTCGAAAACCTGGATTTTTCACAAATGGGGCCCCAAGCCTAACAACATACAAAAAAATCGTTACTATACTGTATTCAGAAAATAATGTTACTTTTCTCATTCGCGCTGGGGGTGTTCCCAATAGTATTGCGATAAATGGTATTATTGGATTTGCATCTTAAATGTATTGGAAAAACCGGATTTTTAAGGGCGAAAGTCGTATAAAACAATCCTTACGGCTTGTTTAAATGAATAGAACAATAAACACCAATCACCCAGCAGTCAGCAGTTCTCAACAAATTATAAATATTACACCAATTTCGATACGAAGGTATAACGCTTGTCTTTAAATGGTAAAATAACGGTAATTTTACGTTCGTAAAATGCGCTAAAAACTTATACGATATTCAAATGGTACGTAATACATAATATAATGTAATGATATGCAAATATGTACATAATGTGCTAGGGGTATTATCGTTATCACTTTCAATACAATAATCGCTTGTTTACCTCAGAAGTTAATTATATTTAGATTTGTACTTGTACCATAATGACTTCCTAATTATTGTAATCAATATTAATGTTTTATAAGTAAAAGAAAATAAGAAAATATTTGTTAATGTCTTTAGGAAGGGGTTCTATATATATTGCAACTGAATTGTTATACTCACTTAGTTTCCTGTACAACCTGGTCAAAATGGACGCCACTGAGGCCAAACGTAAAATTTAGTTGAACGTGTATGATTATTTTGTAAAAGAAAAAAATCATGGTGGAGTAGGTACTTACTTCAGTAATGGCAGTTCAACAAAGAACAGCGGATGCGGTGCAAGTATCGAAACAAACAGTTGTGAGGACATGTGCTATGCGAGAGATTGCGGAAGTGATTTAAAAAGAAATCCATATCGCCGTTCTAAACCACGTAGGACGGACCTACTAGAAAATAAAAAGCATACCATCCGATATCTGATTTATGATATGTACGCAAATAAAGAGCACGTAACTCTAGATACTTTGTTGGCGGTGATAAAATTGAAAGACTTGTGTGATTTGGGCAGAACAAGCTTGTTCTATGCACTGAAAGAAATGGGCTTTAAATTTAAGATGACCAATAGCAGACGGGGTTCGTGTGAACAAAGTCATGTGGTTTCCATGCGGAATGTGTTTTTGCGAAAATACATCAGAAATCTCGAATCCGAAATTCCGCATGATTTCGTTTTTTTAGACAAAACCTGGGTGTTTAGCAGAGGCGCAACAAAGCGTACTTGGCAAGATGACCGCGCTAAAAGTTTGCAACAACTCATAAGGCTTCAGATGGTAAACGATACATAATTATTCATGCTGGTGGCAGAAATGGGTTTATAGAAGGCAGCAGCTTAATATTTTCGAGTACCAACAAATCGTTCGATTACCACGACAATATGAACGCCGAACTATTTGAAAAATGGTTTGAAGAATCTTTCCTAAAGAAACTTGCTCAGCCCTCAATTATTGTTTTAGACAATGCATCTTATCACACGCGGAAAAGTGAAAAGATTCCAAGAGCTTCTTCAACCAAAGAGGAAATTTCGAATTGGTTGAAAATGAAGAATAGACCATTTGGTACTGCGATGTTTAAGGCCGAATTGTTAGAAATTGTAAAAAATCACAGTCAAGCAACCATAACTAAATATGTTGTCGATGAAATGACATTACAATATGGCCACGAGGTTCTGCGTTTGCCGCCTTACCATTGCCATTTCAATCCCATTGAACTGGTATGGGGAATTTCGAAAAAGTTTTACGATGACCATATTGTTGGTACGCCGGGAAGACCAGAAGATGTTCTTAAAACCTGGAACGACGCGTTAGCTAAAGTAACTCCAGACGTGTGGAATCGCTGCGTAACCCATACAGAAGAAATAATCAAGGATACCTTCAATCGTGAAAAAATCATAGACGATGTAAGGGCTTTGGTTTTTACTGTAAATACAGGAAGTGATGAAGAAAGCGATTATTTAAGTGAAAGTGACAATGACAACGACGCGTGAATTCATATGAACTTAATTCATGTCGATTATTATAATAGGTAGCAATTAAGTAAATAATGTACATATTTTCATGTTTATTTGTAACAAATGTTCGTAAAATACAAGCTTAAAAATCCGCTGTTTTTCCCAAACATTTAAGATGCAAATCCGGTTTTTCCCAATTTAAGATGCACCATTTATCGCAATACTATTGGGAACACCCCCAGCGTTAATGAGAAAAGTAACATTATTTTCTGAATACACTATACCTTACCTTTTGCATTCAAACACCCGTTCTTGATACCCACGTACTGGCCTACTACATAAATTTGACGATCCACACAGGCAAGTCGGCCACGAAACTAGCCAGGTCCTCAACTTCACTTGCCGCTTGCCTCTCATTTACAATTGGCAACGTTACTAGCCGAAAGTACTACCTATCCACCAGTAAACTTGCCAAATGTAAATTAGGATTAGGGTAATGGGCGGAAAGTGTAGTTGCCAGTTAAATAGAAATTCGGTAGCAAGTTTACTAGCAGAAAGTACTTACTTTCCGCCAGTAAATTTGCCAAATGTAAATGAGGCTTACAGTAGGTAATTTTTCCATCCCTCATTGTCGTTTCTGATATACCTACTTCCTTTTGATTCAAGACAGCGTCGTTTATCTAAAAGTAATTAGTCATTTACGACCAGAGCAAAACTGTAAGCGCACCGCCATGTCCTCACAAATAGTTTAAAACCACAAGGTGGTTTTGTTACCGAATCCAAAAAAGGCAATATCTTGAAAACACTAGCGCTTTATAAAATCAATGAAAATACGCAAGTAAGGTTGTTATAATAGTATATTTTGATACAATTACACAATGCACTACTGCAAATGCCGTAAAGGTCATTTGTGCACTAGAAGGTACCTATACGTTATTTTTTTCACTACTAGCGTCTGATGACATGATTATTAACCTTTTTTCCACTTGTAAAGTAGGCTTTCTCGGCATTTGTTCAAAGTGGTTAATAATTTTTTATTATTAACTAGTAGTCAATAATGAGAACTGTCACGCTGTCACTTTTAGAAAACACAACCCGAAATTTCGCTCAATGAACGTTTAGACAAGTTCTCTAAAACGAATAATTGCCACCATTCGCAATTTCCAGAGAAATTACATACCTAAAATTATCACATTTTGAAAAAATTCGAACGAAATTACTCTTTGAAAAATCTCAATGACAGAACAAAATACGGCCTGTTTGACTTGTACTTCCACGTACTTGATTGACATGTTAAATTAAGAAACAAACAATTCTGTCCAACCGTTAACTCTCTTATCAATATAATATGTTAATTTAGAGGATTTCAAGTGCTAGTAGTGAAAAAAATAGTATATATACCACGGTAGAGAAGTCTATTATTGCCTTCGCACCTTACACCCCTCGGCGCAAGCGCCTCGAGATGTAATCTTGGTGCTCAGGCAATAATAGTGGACTTCTCTACCTTGATATATAATGTACTATTATATTATACACAAATAAGAAAAGAGCATCAAATAATTTATCATAAAGGTGCGTTCATATTGTGATATATAGTAGTACCTACAATCACTGACACGTGGAAAAAAATTATTAATAGGTAACCAATGAATTGCGCTTCACTTTTGATACCACATATAAAACAAGGACAAACGCGCTTAAAGGTATTGATAATTAAAAATTAAATCGACGACAAGCAATTATTGACTTAAATTTCTCATCAATTTGTTTATCTAAATCTCTGACGTTTCAACATTTATCACGGTAAGATTGATAAGATACAAAGTATACCTACATTGAAAAGCAAACAGAATTTAATAATGTAATAAATTCCGATATTGGATTTTTTTACAGTAGAATAATTCAATAAGAAATGTTTAATTGAGAGGGAGGCACAGTTTATGGAGGGGTCCAAAATTCGAAAGGACAAAATCAAATGGGATCATCATCTGGGACCTTTCAAGTTGGAATTGTAGTAGCTTCTGCAAATATCGTTTGTCTTGATAATGGAGTTTGCTTTTTAAGGCTCGCGGAATCACCGAACTGATGTTTTGGGCCTTCCAAAATGACATTTTATAAATAGGCGCCCTCGAAAATTATTTTGCATTTACAGGGAGGGTGGTGGGCAATTTTCAGAATTGTATCCAATCTCACCCTGCCCTCCCTCCGCATGTAATATTCAATGAGACTATAAATGGGTACGTGTTGCGATTAGATTTTGATAAATGTACTATTAATGCAAAGTACTTTTATTTAAATGAGTACTACAAGAGTGTAATCAAGTACTACAGAATTGTTCCGGTATTACGTCTGTATGATTGTATTAAGTCCTCAATGTTTATCGGTTCTTAATTCGAGTAGGCCGTATTGAAGCACTTGTGTTGAGGACCAATAAAATAAAAATGTGAGTTACAGTAGCATTTTAATAACTTTCACCATAATTTGTTTGTTATGACATTTATTGAAGTATACTTATAAGCACGTACTTTTACTACTCACGTTCCAAAGGCTTTAGAAGTACTCAGCGTAGAGGCATGCTTTGATTATAGGTATTATGGTGGTTACTTCGTCTTATAAATCTGATAACGACATTTATTTGATAACTTTTTCTCTCTTCATCACAGAAAAGTAAGTGAAAACACTTCAGATGAAAGTACCTACTGAATTTTTCTCAGACACAGTATTTTTACAATAGGAGTTTTGGTACCTTTTATGATTTTAACTCAATTTTCGGAGTGAAATTCGGGGATGGGAACTGAAATCGACCTTAGTGCTTGATTGAACTAGGTAATAAACATTCTGCCTCCTTATTTGTTTAGCAAGGAATCGATCAGTGAAAATGTCCCCTAATTTGTTGTTTCGCCGAAGGTTAGCCTTGATTTTCTAAATGTATAGTTATTAAAAGGGCGATTGGTACCTATTACTCAACTGCATTAGTAATTAAATATCAAGACCGTATTTGTAAATCCGAGTAGTGCAGTAAATTTCCTGAAGTTCGAACCTTTTGCATATTATAATGCAAACAAACGCCCAAGGAGCATTCACTTTAAATCTAAATACTAACGCCAGAAGGAAGAAACCAAAATAATCCACTCCATAGTATTGCGCTCTTTTGTTTTCTTTGAATCTATAACGGCACTGATTTGAAAAAGATCCTATACATGATAGGGGTTGCTGCAGCGCTAGTTAATACCAAAGAGTAACCATCTCTTTGCTAATACTATTATAGAAGGGAAGAATCGCTTCAGTAATATTCTTGAGTTTTCTCACTATTCCAATAAACTAAGCGTATAACTTTTCATTGTAGCAGCGTGTTTTACAAGACTGTGGAAAAATCCCATCTCAAGAACCTACTTCCGATATTCCATTCTCGAACTATCTGCGTTTGAAGCTTTGGTCCTACCAACATATATGGGCTATGGTTCAGTTTTCAAATTTGAATAAGTCTGTTGAAGGATACTGGGTGCCAAATGGCAAATAATTCAAATGGATATTCAAATTTTTGCGTGAACGAACACGTTCATACGAAATATTAACAAGATGTCTCCCTTCCAACCAAAATCGATTTGCTTTTGCGTTTTTTCAAAAACTATTTTCTTACCAGCTATTCAGCCTGTTTCGTTTTCGTTGTGCCACCCTGTATTAAGTGTAACAAGTACGTAAAGAAAGCATGATCGGTAGTGGGAGAGGGGACCCAAACCAACATTTTTTCCAAATAAACTAAAACCGAAAATAAATCACTTTCCGATTTTGTACTAAATTATTGAATTGTATACCTATAAATACCTGACAATCTATAGGTAATATATAACAGTAGATCTTTTTTGCCCATTTTTGCAAATTTATTTGTAAAAGGGGAGCTTTGGCCGGCTGGCAGCAAATGCGGGCCCGTAGAAGAACGCTTACAAAACAACGAGGATTGTATATGTACCTACGGGGGCCATGTAATTTATAACTTCAGGGGCGGGCGTCACTCCCGAGCGCGTTATACTAATTTGGAGATTTTTCAGTTTTTTTCATATCTTCTTCTACAATTGGGGGTTGTCGACTTTGGCCGCCCAAAAGTTTCATAGAGCTTTAAACGCGGTCTCTCTTTCCCGGGTCGCCAATAGAAGCTGGAGCTATGAGAAGTGCCCAAAAATTGAGTACTATTTTTTATTTTTTTTTATTTTGCATTTACGGAAGTGGGTACTGACAAAGAGAATGTGGTAGCCCCCGACAAGATCTTACTGATAGTGGAGTCGAAACTTCAAACACGAATTGCACGTGAACGGGAAATCGGAAGCGGGTACCGACAAAGCGAAAATGGCTGCCCCCAACAAGATCTTCCTGATGGTGAAGCGAAAACTTCAAACGCGAATCGCGAGTGAATGGAATGTGGGTACCGACAAAGGGAATGTGGTAGCCTTCGACAAGATCTTATTGATGGTGGACTTATAACTGGATAATAGAATACTGATCTGCTACACAAAAATGCGCTGAAGGTATAATTCAAGACTGGAGTGTCAGAGAACGCCGGTAGGTACTTACAAACGGCGATTGAAACTTCTGGACGAAATATATGTATTGCGATATGTCGAAGGAGAGTACTCACAAAGGCAGAATCGTCTGGACAAGACATATCTATTGCTGAGATCAAAGTGAATAAAGGGCAAGTGTAACGTCTGGACGAGACACATCTAACTGCTGATGTCAAAACTTTCAGTGCAAATATGCAGAACGGAGTGTCGGAGGAGGGTACTTTCAAAGGGCGGCTGGAACGTCTAGACCAGACATACTACTGGCCATCTGAAAACTTAAATGTGAATATCTCCAGAATGGAGTGTCGTAGGAAAGTATGTACAGGTTGGTCAAATAAGAATGCGAGGTACTGTATCTGGGAACCTGTCCATCGTAGAGGCTTGCGGTAAAAAAATTTATTACTAAAACGGCCACGAGAAAAACCTGGAAAATATGTTTCTGCAATGCCCGCTAGGGGGCGTAACTGCAATCTGGAA